TAACAAAGGGGAAATCCCGAAGGGGGCCTAAAGCTGGACTTAAACTTAAGAACTTTGACGAGGAGCAGGCCGGGAATCAGCGGCGGAAAGCTCGCCTTTGGGCGAGTTCCTCAGCCGAGGCCTCCGGAAGAAAAGCAACGCTACAGAGCAAAGCGGCGCTGCCACGGCCCCAACTAAGCGGGAGGAGGAAAGGGAAAGAGAACGGCTTTCCCTCTTGTCCGCGCCGTCGATCCAGAATTTGGCCGCTGACCCCACTTTTGCTGGGCAAAGTCAAATCCCCCGAGTACGGAAGAAGGAACGAGTTTTTCCAATGAAGAACTGAAGCCCTTCGAACCCGAGCAGGCCAACAACTGGGCGCACCTCCGATGTAAAGGAAGCGCCAAACTTTTGCGCCGGAGGAAGTAGTTGCCCGCTCTTCTCGGTGCCGGCAGCGCGGGTTCCGACGGTCTCTCGTCCTCCCTCTCGTCGTCCTCCTCGGCGGTGGCAGCGACCGGGCGAAGCGGGCTTGGCTTCTGCCCGCCCGCACGGAGACGGCGGCTGCGGCGTTGGATCCGTCAACGTACTGCGAGAGCCCGGTGTACAGCCCGGACGTCTGCCCCAACATGATCGCCGCGCAAGCCAAGCTAGTCTACCAGCTGAATAAATACTACACGGAGCGGTGCCAGGCCCGCAAGGCGGCCATCGCCAAGACCATCCGCGAGGTGTGCAAGGTCGTTTCCGACGTGCTGAAAGAGGTGGAAGTGCAGGAGCCGCGATTCATCAGCTCGCTGAGCGAGATCGACGCGCGCTACGAGGGCCTGGAGGTCATCTCGCCCACCGAATTCGAGGTGGTGCTCTACCTCAACCAGATGGGCGTCTTCAATTTCGTGGACGACGGCTCGCTGCCGGGCTGCGCCGTCCTCAAGCTGAGCGACGGCCGCAAGCGCAGCATGTCGCTGTGGGTGGAGTTCATCACAGCCTCGGGCTACCTGTCGGCGCGCAAGATCCGCTCGCGCTTCCAGACTCTGGTGGCGCAGGCCGTGGACAAGTGCAGCTACCGCGACGTGGTCAAGATGATCGCCGACACCAGCGAGGTCAAGCTCCGCATCCGCGAGCGCTACGTGGTGCAGATCACGCCCGCCTTCAAGTGCACCGGCATCTGGCCGCGCAGCGCTGCCCAGTGGCCGCTGCCCCACATCCCCTGGCCGGGACCCAACCGCGTGGCCGAGGTCAAGGCCGAGGGCTTCAACCTGCTCTCCAAGGAGTGCTACTCGCTGACCGGCAAGCAGAGCTCGGCCGAGAGCGACGCCTGGGTGCTGCAGTTCGGCGAGGCCGAGAACCGCCTGCTGCTGGGCGGCTGCCGCAACAAGTGCCTCTCGGTGCTCAAGACGCTGCGCGACCGGCACCTCGAGCTGCCCGGCCAGCCGCTCAACAACTACCACATGAAGACGCTGCTGCTCTACGAGTGCGAGAAGCACCCGCGGGAGACCGACTGGGACGAGGCTTGCCTGGGCGACCGCCTAAACGGCATCCTCCTGCAGCTCATCTCCTGCCTGCAGTGCCGCCGCTGCCCGCACTACTTCCTGCCCAACCTCGACCTCTTTCAGGGCAAGCCCCACTCGGCCCTGGAGAGCGCCGCCAAGCAGACCTGGCGCCTGGCCCGGGAGATCCTCACCAACCCCAAGAGCCTGGACAAGCTATAGGGCGCCCGGAGCTCCTTTGCAAACTCTGGAAGGGGGACGGGCTCAAAGACTGAAGGCGCGGCGGCGCTGCTCCTCCGCTCCCCTTTTCCTAAAATGTCCTTAAAAAGACAAGACTTTCCTGGCAGTGAAAGGACTTGGCGGCAGCCGAGCGAAACCCGAGGTACATTTCTTCCCTTCTCCGCTTTGAATTTCCGTGTGTGTGAGACCCCCGCTTCTCTCCGTCGCCCTTTTTTCTCTCTCTTGTCCGTTTCCCTGAATGTTGTCACCAAGTGAAAAACAACGCTATTTAACTAGATGTACGATTTTCTTTCTTTAAAAAAGTGAGGAAAGAAAACAAAATAAATTAAAAGAAAAAAATCAGAAACCCCAAAAAGAAAGAGGGGAAAAAAAGAAAAAAAATCACCACTATAAAAACTTTACTGGTGTTAAATGTATTCCAGTGCCAATGACAGACTACAATGCACTTCTTTTCCTTCCCACCATTTGCTTAAATTTGAACTTGTTGAAAACAGTTAAGAAACCTCATTAAAAAAAATAAAAAATCGATTTTAACTTTCCATTGCCTTCGTGTCTCTTTATTCCAAACATCGGCAATTAAGAGGTGATTGTACCAAAGAATTTTACTTTTTAAGCAGAAAATAGAAAGGAAAAGCAGAAGGGCAACTAAGATAGATTTTCCACTTACAAATTATAACAACGTATTTTGAATGTTTCTAACTGATACCGAACAAATTATCCAAATAACTCTGCAGCCTTGTGTAGCTACTTTTTTTTGCCAGGCAACCATTAGTTTTAAATTTTTATTGCAAGTTGATATAACTTCCCTTTTGTTTGTAGAATATAAGTTCCTTCTTTCTGCACTTATCTAGCCTTCTGCCTTTTCTTGCATAGAGATAATATAATATTCAATATTACACGAATTTCAACACTGTGTAAAATTACCCCTAAATATACAATTGAGGAAATCTAGGACATTTTATTTCCTACATACTTTTGCCGAATGTATACATATGCATATGGAATAAAATGGGAACCATTTTTAAGGATCATTCCCAAGGACAACAGACACTGATTTCCATATTAAAATGATCTTCATTCAGAAAGGATTTTTTATGTGTTTAAATATGATTTCTCTCTTCTGAAGGAATCAAATTGAGAGATATTTGTTTTTGTATAAACAAATTTTGATGTGCACATTTATCTAATCTATAGCGGCCTTTTACTATTGGAATTTTTCTAAGTTCATCCTGAACCTATGCAAGTTTATCATTGGCATCAAAAGTGGCTTGTTCCCAAATAAGTATGAAGGGAATTGCAACCTTACAAAGAGAGGAAATTTTTGTTTTCCTCCCCCAAAAAACTCTTACTTTCATTTTTTATTTAGACAATTTGTCACAGAAGGTTTGTGAAGTTTTTTTTAATAGTTTGGAAAAGTTGATTAGTCTTTGCATATAAACAGTATTCCTAAAAAAGTCTAAATTGAAAATGGAAAATTATTATTTTAGTTTTGGTGCATTGATAAAGCCATAACATATCTGCTTGAATGCCAATGTGCTTATTTGTGCAGTATCCATTTTGGGGCAAAAAACAAAGCTAAAGAAACCCAAATGCAATAAGTACATATTTATACTGAAAATGGTTCGAATTTGATAATGGCTTATAACTGAGTTTTCATACAAGCTCCACTAGCCATTCCACTAGCCCAAAATCAAGACTATGCTCTAGAATTCAAGAATCTTGTTAGGAACAGGCTTTCAGTAAGAATATAAACTTTGATGCTATCAGTAACAACAATATCCCCAGCTGCTTTACTTCAAAAATCCTGTCACAAGGTTTTTCCTTCCCAGAGTTTAGAAAAATACACAGACAAATTAAATTGATTAAACTGGGAAACCCTATTAATTAAACAGGCTTTGAAGCAAGTGCTGGATTGGTACTGGAAGAAGGGGTGTGGCTACTCAAGTTTTAGTTATCCACAGCATATGGAAAAGGGAGGGAGGGAAGAAAAAGAAAGGACATGGGAAAATGCCAGGGTTGTAAGAAAACAATGTTGTTTTACTGCATGACTTCATAACCCAAACAACAAAAGATTTAGAAAGTTTCCACAAAGAGAACTCAACAGCTTGAAGCTTATCCTTCCACCACTAGCACAAACATTTCCCAATTTCCATATAAATTAATACAGTTGACGGCTTTTCTAGCGTTCTATGACTACCATCAATTTAAGATGTCTGGCTCACATTGTTTTTAAACAAATATTGTAAACCTAATACCAGTTTACTTTTCTGTTACTAGGAGAGAAGTTATTTCAAAGCAGCAGGGAAATACATATAGTTTACTCTAAAATAATATATGCCGAAGTTTCTAATACTACAATGAGTTAAATATAAATTAAGTATTCTGCCTCTTTATTTGATGGCTGCATATTTACTTTTAGAATAAATTAGCACCCAAATAAACTGCAGTTAAACTGAAGCTCTTATATGCACACTACTCTTAGCTTGAAAAGTTTACATGATTCTGATAAGTTTATAATTTTAAATTAGCTAGTGCAATGCTATAAAGTGTATTTTATTTTAAAAAGTTTCATAAATACTTTCTACTAGGTATTAAAGATTTCGTAAATGATACTATTCATATTGTAAAAATATTCATAGAGAACAATAAAATTGCAGCAGTTAGTGTAAATTGCCTATATAGACATAATCTGTATACATCAGATCATACAGTTTTGTGTTCCATTTACTTCAAGAAAGCACTGCAAATCTCTCTTCTTATTAAAAAACAACAGAATTATTTATATAATAAAGCACATCTTTAAAAAGACTGCATGTTCAGTAATACTTTCTAATATGACAAACATGGTGAATATTTTAAAGAAATAAGTTTATATTTATAAACAGAGATGCTGCTTTGTGAAGTAATGAAATGTAATTTACATTTGTATTTGGGGACTGCAGTATATTTAAGAAAAGCTTAAGCAGAACCATACAGCACAAAAGTCCAAGAAATCATGCTTTTAGAACGGTGTATTGTTTAACATTCAAAGCCAAAACACAGATATCAAGGGGCAGTACTGCTAATTTAAGATATTTTACCCATTCTCTTGTTTTTCAGGCACCTCCCTGGAGGGTTATCCCTTGAGGTAATTAAGAGAGGTTCTTAGAAGTAATATATTTCATACTTAAATAGACTCACATATATGACTTTGGCTAAATTAAGGACCGAAAAACATAGCCAATGGACAGAAAAGCCTGGATGGAAAGATTACTTATTGTCTTTTAAAAGGAGAGAAAGAGAAAATCAGCGATCTCTTACCTTGGGATCCATTTTCTTAAAAATGGGCTCTTCTTCATCTACCTCAAAATACACTTCAGAGGTGGTGATGGACAGAGTGCCTTTCACTATTACACAAGGGGCCACGAGCTGAGCTGCTGTACATAGACTAACAGGACCTACAAAAGAAAAGAAAAGCACACACACAGTCCAACACTTTGTTTGCCACGATCTGAAGAACAAGCACAAAATTTTCTAAATATACATATGCATATTACTTCTTTTATTCTATCAATCCAGCCTACCCTTTGCAAAACAAGCTGCCTCTAACAAAGGACATTTTATATACACTCCAAGAACACATGCAATGCATTTGTTGCACTGCTGGATTGCCAAAGATTTGAACAAGTACAGCTGCAAGCAATGGAAGTGATTATGTATGCCCATCTAGATGGTTGTTAGATCATCTCATTTTTTATTCCTGAAAACTTTGAAATGCTTCAGAACCAAATGCCTCAGGTTAGGTAGGTAGGTAGGTAGGTAGGTAGG